TACTCTTTGTGATTGGTTTTCATTCCTTTGTATAAAACTATACATACATGATGCTGTTTTGTTTCTAATTGTTTAAGAAACTTAATTATATATGGTTTATAAACATTATTTTAAACATTATGCACTTTTTTCCAAAGACAGTCTTATTTTATTGCTTTGAATAAACGTGCATTACTAATATTTTGCTCGATGCGCCCTCTTGTGGCCTCAAGAGAGAAACCAAAAGCTTTTCTTCACCCTAACTGAAATAATGCCTTTTAAATTAGAATATAATTTGAATATTGATAATATTAAAGTACAAAATACAAATTTCGTTTTTCAGCCATTTTCACAGCCCTACTCAAAGTTCCTAAAAACAACAACAAAGTACAATATGTATTGTGCCACATACTAGTCTTGTATGACTGATAAAGCTTTACCTCAGCAGCAGGAGCAGCTGCTATTGCTGCCATTGAGCCCATGGGCATCATTCCAACATCCTGAATGTTCAGAGTTTTCTGACGGGGACAAAAAAAAACAAAAAAACATTTATATCAGTGTTTTCAGTAAAGATGATCACACACTATTAGAGCTGGGCGATATAGTGAATATTCACAATTTCAAATTCAGCAACATCATATGTAGTGAAGAACTATATTTGACCATCAAGTTTACAAAAGATTATACACTTAAGTGTCTATTTATTTCATTAATATTAGATTAACTGCAAGTTTTTCTTTTTTAAAAAACATACTTTTAAAGGAATAGTTCATCCAAAAATGAAAATTCTGTTATTAATTACTCACCCTCATGTCGTTCTAAACCCGTAAGATCTTCGTTCATCTTCGGAACACAAATTAAGATATTTTTGATGAATTCTGAGAGCTCTCTGACCCTCCCATAGACAGCAATGTAATTACCACGATCAAGGCTCAGAAACATAGATCGGTAAAATAATCCATGTGACATCAGGGGTTCAACCGTAATTTTATGAAGATACAAGGATACTTTTTGAGTGCAAAAGAAAAAAAAAAAAAACTACTTTATTCAACAATTCTTCTCCTCCGCGTCACCCTGGTGCCATTTTGGAGAATATCCACTGAACGTAAACTCCAAAATGGCACCAGGGTGATGCGGAGGAGAAGAATTGTTGAATAAAGTCTTTTTTTTCTCTTTTGCACTCAAAAAGTATCCTCGTATCTTTGTAAAATTATGGTTGAACCCCTGATGTCACATGGATTATTTTACAGATCTCCTTGCTACGTTTCTGAGCCTTGATCGTGGTAATTACATTGCTGTCTATGGGAGGGTCAGAGAGCTCTCAGAATTCATCAAAAATATCTTAATTTGTGTTGTGATGATGAACAGAGGTCTTACGGGTTTAGAACGACATGAACGTGAGTAATTAATGACAGAATTTTCACTATTGGGTTTACTATCCCTTTAAGATTTGAAGTGCAATACAAGTGCACTTCTTGTATTTTGTGTCTTGCATTAAACAGCATTATTTGGTTGGTGTTTTGTGCTGCACCTTTAGTAATTCATTGAGGTCAGACACTTCTATGAGCGCGAGGTTGGCGATATCATTGACCAGCTGTTGGATTTTGGGAGAGTACTGCTTGGGCGTCCCATCAAGCGGAGGTGTTGCAATGGCATCAGATGGACTGACAGTGCTGGTCTTGAGTGTTCGCAGGGCACACAGTGCTGTTCTCTGTAGGTTGTGTCTGTGAAATGAGTCCATCAGACAACAATAATGAGCACATAAAGCAGCAACAAATACCATATAGTGCATCTATTCTCTGTTAGCAAAAGAGCAGCAAATCAGGATATTAGAATGATTTCTGAAGGATCATGTGAGTAGACTGCTGACTGGAAGACTGGAGTAATTATGCTGAAAATTCTTAATTTAAATAGTAATAATATTTCATAATATTGCTGTTTTTACTGTATTTTTCACCAATTAAAGGAATAGTTCACCCAAAAATGAAAATTCTGTCATTAATTACTCACCCTCATGTCGGCACAGAAAGGTAGCAAGCAAGGACATTGGTAAAATAGTCCATGAGACATCAGTGGTTCAACCGTAATGTTATGAAGCTATGAGAATACTTTTTGTGTGCGCAAAGAAAACAAAAATAACGACTTTATTCAACAATTCTTCTTAGCTTTATAACATTAAGGTTGAACCACTGATGTCAGTCACATGGACTATTTTAACGATGTTCTTACTACGTTTCTGGGTCTTGAACGTGTCAGTTGCGTTGCTGTCTATGCAGGGTCAGAAAGCTCTAGGATTTCATCAAAAATATCTTAATTTGTGTTCCAAAGATGAACAGAGGTCTTATGGGTTTGAAACAGCATGAGGGTGAGTAATTAATGACAGAATTTTCATTTTTGGTTGAACTAACACTTTAAGTAAAGGGTAATCCAATAGGTGTATGTTACACAGTTTAAATGCACAATATGGAGAATATGAACATGAAACATGAAGTGCATTGTGTCCTTTAATAAACTTAATTTGTCGGCGCCAACAGCCTCGTGGGCACTTCGGGCGTCCCAAGTTTGAGTCCTGGCTCACGGACCTTACCTGACCCCGTCCCTCCTCTCTCCCCCCCACTTCGCTTCCTGTCTAACATATTGTCCTATCCTAATAAAGGCAAAGACGCCAAAAATAAATCCATAAAAAAAAATCTTAATTTGTGTTCTGAAGATGAACGGAGGTCTTATGGGTTTGGAAGGACAAGACGGTGAGTAATTGACAACAGAATTTTCATTTCTGGGTGATCCATTCCTTTAAATGCAGCCTAGGTGTAAATAAAACAATAATAATAAATCAAATCAAATACATTTAAAAAATGTAATCTTCCCAACCCCAAAACTTTGAACGGTGTGTTTCTATTAAATTGCATTATAAATAATCAGTGGATTCTAAAAGTCTTGAGACCACTAGTGAAAATTGATCCATTTTGCATTTTTAGTTGCACAATATATACTGTCAGCATAATACTAATAAAGGTTTCTTAACTTGAGGAGGTTAGCGTACCCACTACTGACCTTGAGTACAAAGGAGCTCACATGGTCAATGTCACAGATGTGGTTACATTTAATTAGTGACTCACTAATAAATCATATTAAATGCTAATGAGCATTATATCAGAGCTTCTTAATGGCAACCATTTAAAAATAGTTTCCAGGTGCAAACAAGAAAACAAATCCCAGGTTTTCAGTGTGGCATGTCAGCACACAGCTTTTTAAATATCGGCTGACCACCATTAGAAATATATAGAGGAAATTATACATTTACAGAAATCACGTGACCTTCCATTCCGGTAAATTACACGGTTATTCTCGATTAGTTACATTTTCAAGTAAACATTAAAACAGTATATGAACTATGCTATTACATGCATATTCCCTGACTTTTGACGTTGACAGAATCAGATCAGCTGCAGGATAAAGATGCATCTCATGTCAGAATCTTCTCGGAGCACATTACAGTTCAGATTTGTTCACTTTAGATGATAATAATATCTGTATGTGTTTCACTGACAGCGACATTGCTGACACCTCTAGTATGTGGAATATTCTTGGTAAATTCTGTCCTTGAGCCTCAGATCAGCTGCAGGATAAAGATGCATCTCATGTCAGAATCTTCTCGGAGCACATTACAGTTCAGATTTGTGCACTTTAGATGATAATAATATCTGTATGTGTTTCACTGACAGCGACATTGCTGACACCTCTAGTATGTGGAATATTCTTGGTAAATTCTGTCCTTGAGCGCTGGCAGACGCAGGGGGTTTTGTCAGGCTCTTACCGGTGTGTGTTTGCCGCGGTCCGCAGCGCGATCCAGACGCAGTATCTGCTGCAGTACATCATGACCACGAGAGCACGACTAACCGTTCAGAGAACGCTACAAAACGACAGGCCAGATCCCAAAACACAACTCTCTCTCAGTGTGAGACTGACTGTCGGACCTCCTCTAGCAGAAGCACATGGCGTCCTGCACTGGCTCTTCCTGACCCACCCACAATACATCGCGCCGGAGGGACAAAACTTTATTTAAAATACTCCTGTCACGTTGTTTTACAAAACCCCTTCTCTTAAATAAATGTCTAAATTTAAAGATAAATAGCCTCATAAAACAATGGGCAAACATATTAAAGAAAACGTACAGAAATAAAAACCTGCATATGGGGTTAATCAAAGTCTCTGAATGGCTGGGACGCATTACACAAATTACATAAAAGTCTAAAACAAATCCTAGAAATATCGAGCTAAAATATTAGTAGGCAATGTATGAAATAACATGGGGTTTTAAAATCAAAGTCTCTGAATGGCTGGGACGCATTACACAAATTACATAAAAGTCTAAAACAAATCCTAGAAATATCGAGCTAAAATATTAGTAGGCAATGTATGAAATAACGCCACTGACAGAAATCCGAATCTCGCTACATTTAAAATGAACTCATTTAAATGCATTTATTTACTTGCCATATAGGGCTATCTGTGAAAATTACAGGTCCCTATACAATAAAATAAAATAAAAAAATAAAATGTTCTGCATGCATACAATACTTGGGTGCTCCGTAAATATTAGGATTAAAAATTAGTCTCTCAAATCCTTCCTTTTATAAAAAGACCCTTAAATGGCCACTGTGCTTAAACCAAACCAAATAAAATTAATAATTAAAACGAAATACAACAGTAGTTATGTAATAATAATACACAGAGGTAACCACTCAGCAAGCAAGCCAGCAAGCAAGCGAGCGAGTGAAATAAATAAATAAATACACACTTAAATTGGTCGAACAACCAATCTTGGACCATTTAAGATAAATTAACCCTCAGAAAACTGATTAACCCACAGAAGATTCCCATGAATAATGTAATTTCCTGATATTCTTATACAGTTTAGTTCACTTGTGTGGCTATAGCTCAAAATGTGCTTTATGTGTTATACTGCTGTGCTTTATGGCCAAATAAAACAATGGTTTAACCAGAACCAGACATTTCAGAGTGCTGTATAAAATAAAATAGTATCCTAATTCACAAAATTTCCAAGATATAAAGGTAATTTGCATGCTCTCTTTGGTTCTTTAATAAAGTTGTATTGAGTTCTTTGGTTGTGCAGAACTTGAAGGGGAGGAGCAGACAGAAGCCTCTTATCCAGGTAATCTCCTGATCCATCTGCTGCTCCTTCACCCATCACTGAGCAACAACAGCGCAGCGGAAGTATCAGCAACATTTATAACATGCATGGTCCTGGCTTACAGAAATAAATATGTTCAGCATTTAGCAGGAGTCAGCTAAATGTTCCTTTCTTCTGCAGACCATGCTGCTCTCTCCTGCAGCTGAGCGCAGTCAGGACGGTTTGCTGTCGGTGCTCTGGGAGCTACTGGAGGATCAGTCTCACCGTGAGCTGTTTGGTCTTGAGTTGGGATCAGGCACAGGGCAGCATGTGGTGCACTTCACTCAAGAAATGCCCTTTGTCACGTGGCAGCCTTCAGACATCAAGGAGGAAGCACAGAACAGGTACAGTACACAGGTTGTTTTCTTTGTTACAGTGTAATTACAAATGTCATTATTATCAGGGTTTGTAATGTGGCGTCTCTGCTGCAGTATCAGAGCTTATATAGGGGCCACTAAGGCAAAAACAGTGCTGGAGCCGGTGTATCTGGATGCCAGTCAACCCTGGGAGAAATGGGCAGGACTTCCACAAAGCTCTTGTGACATTATTATAGCAATCAACCTGCTTCAGTACAGCCCCTTCAGAACTGCAGAGGTATGACGCCAATATACATAATACTGATTTTTGACTTTTTTGAATTTTAAATTTACGTTTTTGTATATAGCAGACTTTTAAAATAGACTCGGGCTATGAGAAATGAGAAAGTAACTATTAGGGGTTTAACGGTACGCGTATCGTGTACCGATCGGTTCACGGCCAAATTCCTAATGGAAGTGATCATTCCTATCCCCTTGGAGTGGGGACTTTGGAGTGAGCAGGGCACGTGCGTGCCATTATGTAGTTGTTTTGAATGCACTTGGCAAAGGGAGCGATGTAATTTCCTCATTATCTTCAGCTGGGATGTTCCCGTGACAACGCAGCACGGTGTCCGTCAGCAGATTCGCTGATGGACACCGGAATAAAAAGATATACATTTTATATTTTAAAACGTTTTATATATATTATTTTTTTATATATTATATAGCATATTTAAAAACTTTTTAAAATATAAAATGTATTTTTATTTGCAACAGTTATGCTAACAACAATAAAAATACATTTATGAAATTAAAACAGCGAATCTGCTGATGGACACCGTGCTGCATTGTCACGGGAACATCCCAGCTGAAGATAATGAGGAAATTACATCGCTCCCTTTGCCAAGTGCATTCCAAACAACTACATAATGGCACGCATGCGCCCTGCTCACTCCAAAGTCCCCACTCCAAGGGGATAGGAATGATCACTTCCATTAGGAATTTATAAATACTCGTACCGTTACACCCCTCCTAGTAACTATATTACTAGTAAACTAAACGTTTGAAGTCTGTAAGATTTTTTAATGCTTTTGAAAGAAATGTATTTTATGCTCACCAAAGTTGCATTTATTTGATGAAATTAATTTGAATTATTTGATAAATATTATTTTTAAATGTAAAATTGTAGCATTTTATAAATATATCTTAAAATGTAATTTATTCCTGTGATGATTCCTGATTTTTCAGCTTCATTACTCCAGTCTTCAGTGTCACATGATCCTTCAGAAATCACTCTATGCTGCTTTGCTGCTCAAGAAACATTTATTCTTATTATCAATGTTGAAAACAGCTGTGCTGCTTCATAATTTTGTGGAAACTGATTTTTCCCCCCCCCAGGATTCTTTGATGAATAAAGTTCAAAAGAACAGCATTTATGTGAAATTCAAATACATGTGGAATAAAATGATGAATAAAAGTGTTAATTTATTTCAAGAACTTTTAAAATTTGAGCTGTATTGTATATATTCAAATACAGTTAAAAAATGCATTAATGTAGTCTTGTATTCACAGGGTGTGTTTAAAGGATCTGGGCAGATACTGAAACAGAACGGCCTTTTAATGACTTACGGAGTGAGTTGGAGTATTGTATCATTTTCATATGATGTTTTTGATAACACAGTCATAACCACATCTTGCTATAAACATCATAACCTTACGTAATGAAATGTGTCTCAGCCGTACGCTATCAATGGAACAATCACACCAATCTGCAATGAACAACTGGACCAGACATTACGCCAGATGTGGGTTTTCAAACTCACAGTTCTTTATTTTATATTTTAAGTTTCAATATATTGGTATTTATTAATGCATGATATGTTGACACATTTTTCAGCTTACAAACTTACTGTCTTTGGCTTGCCCTGTTTTACACCAACTGTCAATAGGAATCCGGATTGGGGTCTTCCAGACATCGATGTGCTCAGACAAATGGCATTCAGTAACGGAATGAGAATGGAACGAATGGTGAGGGGCAATTGATTAATTAAACTAGGAATTAGAAATATTTGGGTAAATCTCACAAAACATGTCCAGTCCAGATAGCATTTCACCCTAAAGTCAAAAGAAACATTTTAAAGGGGTCATATGATGCGATTTCAATTTTTCCTTTCTCTTTGGAGTGTTACAAGCTCTTGGTGCATAAAGAAGATCTGTAAAGTTGCAAAGACTAAAGTCTCAAATCCAAAGAGATATTCTTTATAAAAGTTAAGAGTCAGCCACGCCTACCTAAAACGGCTCGTTCTAACAC